ATGACAGAACAGAGAAAAAGATAAAAAAGAAAAATGGGTATTTCCCCCACTCTTTAAGCATTAGATCCTTTCCCCACTTCTCAAGCTAGAATTACAGGGCTCCTTTGGGAGCTTTCTGTCTGTGCTGACACTCTCTTCTGGGTTTCAGGCTGTCTGGAGTCCGGGCTCAGGGATATTGGAGGAAAACAAATCACGATTTACCACCAGTTCAATGGTACTTCGAATTCTGGTTTTCTTTACCAACTAATCTGGTATTATTTACTTTTCAGAGATCTCAAATAGCTGTTTCATGCATTCTGGTGTCAAAGCTACTTTTGGTGAGTGAGATATGGAATGCACTTACATCATCTCACCTGGGACTAAAATTACTGTGCCTTTAGAGTTAAGTGTGTTTCCTGTAGATAGCATTTAGTTAGATCTTGCTTCTATTCAGTTTATTTCTGCCTTTTAATTGGCATGTCTAGACTATTTGCATTTTTAAACTATTTTTTAACAGTAGTTTTAGGTTTATAGCAAAATGGAGAAGAAATTACAAGAGATTTCCCAAGGATGAACCTATACTGACGACACATCATAATCATTCAAAGTCTACAGCTTAACTTAGGTGTTTTATGTTCTATGAGCTTGGACACATGTATAATGACATATATCCATTATTATAACATCATGCAGAGCATTTTCACTGCCCTAAAAATCCTCTGTGCTCTCTTATTTGTATCCCCCACCCCTGGCAACCACTAATCTTTTTACTATCTCCACAGTTTTGCCTTTTCTAGAATGTCATATAGTTGGAATCACAAAGTATGTAGCTTTTTTAAGATTGGCTTCTTTCACTTACTAATATCTCTTTATGTCTTTTCATGAGTTGATAGTTCATTTCTTTTTAACACTGAATAGTCCATTGTATCGATGTATATAGACCATTCAAATTTAACGTAATTATCAATGTATTTGAATTTAAGTCTACCAACATACCATTTGTTTTCTATTTGTCCATTTGTTTAGGTTCTTATCAAATGGACCATTTTTTTCAGGATTCTGTTTTATCTCCACTACTACATTAACTATATTTTGTGGTTGAATTTAAAATATTTTAGCTGTTGCTCTAAGGTTTACATTGTGCATACTAAATTTATCACAGGTTATCATTAAATTGCTTCATATCCAGTATAAGAACTTTACAATTATTTCTAATAGCTCATTAATTTCTTTTATCATTGCCACTTTATGTCTCCAAACATTTGAAACTCGGGTAAGTTATTATTTTTTGCTTTAGTCAATTATCTTGTAAGAAATTAAAAAATTAGATAATAAAGGCTTTTTTACATACTCATACTTCTACCATTTTTGGCATTTTCCATTCTTTAGTTTAGATCCAAGTTTCCACTTGGTGATATTTTCCTTCCACTTGAAGAACTTACTTTAATATATCATATTGCTGGTCTGCTGAAAATAAATTCTTTCAGTATTTTTCTTCTTGGTAAGTTTTTATTTAGTCTTCATTTTGAAACATATGTATTCTGGATATAAAATCTAGGTTGATAGTTTCTTTTAGCACTTTGAAAATGTTATTTGATTCTTATCTGACTTACCTAATTTCTGATGAGTATTCTGAAGTTATTCTTTCCCTTTGTTCTTCTCTTTATGTTTCCCTTTTCTCTAGTTAATGTTAAAAATTTTAAAATTGTCACTGTTTATCAGCAATTTGTTTATGATGTGCTTTGGTGTTGTTTTCTTTGTGTTGACCCTACTTGGGGTTCACTGAGTTTCTTCCATCTGTGCATTATAGTTTTTATCAAACATGAGAACATTTTGGTCATTATTATTACTTCAAATTTATTTTCTGCCTCCGCCTCCGCCTCCTCTTCCTCCCTTCTTCTTCTTCTTCTCCTCCTCCTCTTCTTCTTCTTCCTTCTTTCTTCTTCAAAAAACTATTATTATATTTAAATTAGAGTGCTTCATATTTTCTGCAGGTTACTATATGTTCATTTAAAAAAAAAACCACCTTTTTTTTCCTTCTCCCTGCTTCACTATGGATACATTTTAATGCTGTATCTTAAAGTTCACTGATCTTTTCTTCTGCCACTAATTCCATCAAATGATATTTTCACTTCAGATACTGTAATTTCCATCTCTACAAGTTCTATTTGGATTTTAAATATCTTCTCATATTCTCCTATGTTCATTTAAAAGTAGTTGTTTCAACTTGCTTGTGTGCTAATCCTATCATTTCTGGGTCTGTTTCTATTGACTGATAGTTTCCTACATTCAGTATTTGACTGAATGCTGGTCATCGTGAATTTTATGTTGTTCAATGTCTGAGTTTTGTTGTTTCCTTTCTTGTCATTAACGTTACTTAAGTTTCAGTTTGTTTCATTTCAAGGATTATTTTTAAGATTGATTAGGACGTATTCAGAGTAGCCTCTATTCTAGGGATACTTTATTCCCACTATGAAGCTATAGTCCTGAAATCTCTACTGAATAGGGTCTTAATGGACTTCCCACTCTAGCTTGTTGAAACTTAAATACCACAGCCCTGTGCAAACTCAGAACTGTTTGGTTCGCAGCTGCCCCAGCTGCTTTGCCTGACCTCAAGCATTTCATCCTCCATATATACATCTTAGTACTCATCTAAAACTCAAGGGGACAAACATCCCATGTAGATTTCTAGGGCTCTTTTTCTTATTAGCATGTCCTCTTCACTACTCTGGCCTACAACTTCTGGCTGCTATTCATCAGTACCACCATCAGAGGCTTTGCTGGGTTAAAAAAAGGGGTGACGTGCTTATATACTTACATGAACCTTTCTTTAACTTCCATAGCTGAAAATCACCACATTTTACTTACTTTGAAATTTTCTTTTTAAATCTTTCCTCAGGATGGACTATTTTAGGGGATTCTACTACTTTGTGATGTATTGGCCTTACTATTTAAATATAAGTACACACACAAAACAAGTGAAAGAAATATAGAATGCAGATAGTGAGGGCAACATCAGAATCACACATCTCCTTCACAGTAGCCTGAATAAGTCGAATCAATTACTCTAAGGATTACTAGGTAAAAAATAGGATTTCAAAATTTTGCTAGCCATCAAAATATTATTTTGTTGTAAATCTGTGGGAGAATTTTCAAATGCTAACTTAAATCTTCCGAGTTAAAAATTAATTACTATTGCCTTTAAAATTCTAGCATTAGGATAACAAAATGGTTATAGTGAAAGCAAAATGGTTATAGTGAAAGCAACATTTTCAACTTTCCAAACATCAATCCGAATACCAGAGCTACACAACAACAAAACAAACAAAAAATGAGGAAGTGAAAGGATTTCATTTGTGTTTGCTTGATTTCAGTTTTGCTGTGCTCAAGCTTTCTGGAGAAAGAAAAAATGAAAATATCAAGGTTTTATTTCCACAGCATTACAACCTCAAAGTGAAAAAAACAACAAGGTGCTGCTTTACTTTAATAGTGTTTATCTGCATCTACTTAATTCAATTTATGTATCAAGAGTGAGATCAAAACTATATTAGAATTTTATGAAATATTTTAAACATACAGAGAATAATATAATGACTACCTGGGACCCACTGCTCAGCTTTGTCAAATATTAACATTCTCCCATCGTTCCTTCAATTTTTAAAAGAAATAGTTCAGATACGGGACACTGAACCCCCTTTGCAGCCTTTCCTGATCCTATCTCTATCCTTCTCTAGAGGTAACCACTATGCTGTACTCAGCGGTTCTCATTCTAAAGCATTGCTCTTCCTTTTACTATGTGTGTGTATGTATAGTTGTTTTATATGTTTTTAAACTTCACATAAACAGTATATTGTAGGAATAATTCTTCATCTTTTATTCAATGTTGCTTGTTAATAGACATACGTATATGATTTATTTTATTTGCTATATTTTATTGTAGGCCAACTACCATATTTATCTATCTTCTGTTGATGGACATTAAAGTTGCTTCCAGTTTTTCACTTCTACAGACTATACTGTTGTGAAGTTTCTTGTACACAGGCTGTGGGAGAGATTGTTCAGAATATATGCCTAGGAAAAAAACGGTGGGTTATAGGGATGGTACATCTATACTTAACTTGATGGTATCTAAACTGTTCTCTAAAGCTGTTGTACCAATTAAGACTACCAGCAAAAGAGTATGTTATATTTGTCTACATTATTGGCCAGCACTCGTCACTGTTAAATCTTATGTATTCTTATAGTTTTAATTATCTTTTCCCTGAGTTACTAATGATGTTGAATATCTTTTCATCGAGGTTTGTTATACATTGAGCTTTCCTACAGTAAAGGTGACAAGAAAACTTAGATGTAATAAAAAGTTAAAAAAAAAAAGTTCCATAATTAAATTCTAACTTTTGGAATTTAGTATAGTATAGCATGAAATAACTATGGATACTCATATAAGTGAACAATCAATGAAGCACACAACAAAGGAATGTAGAAGTGACCAGGCCTTGAAAACTGTGTTACTATTTGAGGAGGTGAGACAGTGGAGTTCATTCTAGACAAATATATTTTTAATATCATAATTACTGAATGACAGTCTCTGTAATTTATACTTTACTTACCTCTATTGGCAATTTTTCTCTTTAGTCACTTGGAAAATGAAACTATTTTCTTTTGATTATATTTACGACTTAGTAAACACTAGTTACTAAGAAAGAAAAGTTTAAAGAAAAGTTTTCTGAATTATTCTGTGGTACTCAAAATAAGAGCTACATAATATGTAACACACATTTGAACTGGCAGAAATTGGATGTAAATCAAAGTTTTATTTTAAATTACTTCTTTAATGAAATAATATGCCATCTAAAATTTATGTAGATGGTAAGCACTAAGAACATTTTATCTTAGCATCTGTTATACTGCTTCAAATACAGTGGGCATATAAAAAGTGGTTGTAGAATGAATAAATATTGTTTACTTCAGAATGAATGACATTCAAGACATTCCCCCCATGCTTCACTTTTCTCTCTCACCTGCTTTAACTGAAAATGGCTTTTCCAATAGAAATATTGTTTGTTTCCAGTGTGTTGTGGTGCTCTGGGGGCCCGTAGAAAACAAGACCTGCATTGGTAGAGTTTGAGAGTATCTGATGAAGTACAGATTTTTAATATCATGGTACATTAATTTACTACATCAAATATAAGCTTCAATTGCTTACAATAGCAAAATGCTTAGGATCAAACACCTTGGGGCACAAAAATAAAATATAGTGTATTTCACATAATTAATTCTTATGAGACAACTCATGATACTTACTCTGTTGCGGCAATTCTTCTCAAAATATATATCAAAGTAGCCAGCAATTGCCTGTTTAAAAAAAAAAGGAAAGGAACACAAATAACTATTAAACTAATTACATGACATAATTAGTTATTCAGTCTTTTAAAACGTGGCAAATATAAAACAATTTCAAAGACAAATACCTCTTAAACTTATGGCAGGTCACTATTTATCCTAGAAAAGATGTTATAAGTAAAAGTTAAGTAATATAGTTTGGCTTTCCCCCACAGAAACTATATAAAATAAGGGTAATAAGGCTAATCAAATAATCAATATGTTTTATTAGAGAAATGACCACGGTAGACTACTTTGAAAGTTACATGGAGAGAGAGAGAAGCTGAGCCGGCCCCTAGCTGACCCAGACTCTCTCACTTATATGCTGCCATGCAAGTTAAGCCATCTTGGACCCTCCAATTCTAGTCAAGCCTCCAGACAACGTCAGCAGCTTAAGAGACTCCAGAAAAGACCAGCAGAAGAACTAATAGATAAGTCCAGCCTAGACTACAGAATCGGAAACAAATCCAAATGATTGAGACTTTAAATCACTAAGTTTTAGGGTAGTTCAGTACACAGCAATAAGTAACTAAAACATACTCTTTATACAATGACAACTCATTTAACTTTCTTCTGATATTGTGCATCCAATTTTAAAGCAAAGTACTATGAATGTTTTTGCAATGAGATCAATGGAATATTTGAATGTTACTTTTTCTTCTGAAAATGAAAATGAATAATAGTACTCAAGTGAAACTTATGGCTAAGCAATACTCAAAGGAGAAACTTCAAAGTAACTCTAAGGGTTACTGTGATATGAAAAAGTCTCTACAAAAAATTAGCATATTCAGATATATAATTTTCATTCATTTTTGTTTAAAATTTAAATGATACCACTTCTTTTTCTTTCACTAACGGGACTAGCTTGACTTAATATCTTTTTAAAACTGGCATTAAATAAAGCTTATAAAGTATTAAAAATAGGACACTGATTATTGAAAAATCACTACAAAGCTAATATGTGTACTCTGCTGCTTTTGTTGAGAATGTGAAGTTTTATTGATCTGTAGGGTCAATATAGACTGAATCCAAACCAAACTCAATATTTAATCTTAAGGTTCTTTATACTTTAGATACCAAAAGAGAAGTGAAATACTATATAATTCTGTCAAATAGAATTATAAAGCGATGGAGTAGTCAGCTATAGATTGTTATAGAAAACCACAGCTAATGAGAACATTCTAAAACACAACTTTTTTTCAGTTGATTTCCTGATACCTCTCCATTGACTAATTTAACTGTTTTCTTAAGTTTTTTCCTGTTTGTCTATCTTGTTCACCACTATATCCTTAGTGCCCAAAGCAGTGCCTGGCTCATAGTACACGATTAGCATCTGCTGAGTGAATGTCCTATGGTATAGAATTCTATTACGGTTCTTAATATCCTACAATTTAGGTAGTTTGCCCTATCAAACTGCAATTTATTTAGGAGCAAAGCCTATGTCTAATTTATATTTCCATGCCTTTTACCTGGCACAAGTCTGTTATATAGTAGATTCTCAATAAATTTTAGCTAAATTAACTTTTAAGCCTTCAGTTTCTTAAATATAGCAAGCCTCATTACATAGTCAATACACTTTATAAAGTAACTGAATAACTAACAGATGGAACAACTATCAACTATGAAAAAATTGGAGAGCATGGGCCATATATGGGGAGGAGAGAGCTAGTGAAGAGGATCCCTTAATTCTTTGTATGAAGCTGCACAAGTCTCAGCCTAACTCCTGAACTATGTAGCTCAGATTAGATCCAAACCAAAATCACAAAGTCTCAGAGAACTGAACTAAAACCTGAATCACTGGCATAAGTCTCAGGATTAACTCCTGAAAAAAAAGTGTGTGAAGAAAACCCAAATCAAGTAAAGGCTTAGAGACTAAAGTGAGATTTGAAAAACCTGTACAAGTCTCAGACTAATTCCTAAAGTGTGTATGTGCAAGAAAGACCCAAAACAGAATGAAACAGATTTGAACCACTGTCTGCCCAGATACTGCTGACAGAACTTATGTTATGAGTTGACTGCGTGCTAACACCAAACGTCAACATTCTCCAAACAATTACAACCGAAAATCCACACAACATAATATGCACAACATCTAGGATGTAATCCAAAATTACTCAACTTACAGAGAAGTAGGAAAATGTAACCAACTCTCAAAAGAAAAGACAATCAAAAGACAGACGCTGGTACTATCAGACGAGACATTAAAACAGAAATTATAACTGTAATAGAAATTAGGAAATAGAAAACACATTGCAATGAATCAATATATGAGAATTCTCAGTAGAGAACTAGAAACTATTAAAAAATGGAAATTTCAGAATTGAAAAATGTAATAATAACTGAAAACAAAAAACTCCCTGGGCTGAATTGCAGAAGACGATGACCAAAAAAAAAAAAAAAAAAAAGTAGCAGCGAATCTGAAGATAGATCAATCAAAATTATCTAATTTGAAAAACCGAGGAGGAAAAGCCTGAAATAAAATGCACGGAGCCTCAGGGACCTGTATCTAACATATGTGTAACTGGAGGTCAAGAATGAAAATAAAAAGCTACTGAAGCAGAAAAAACCTTTCGAAATTCTATATCCAACAAAAAATACTCGTCAGGAATAAAAGTAAAATAAAGACATTTTCAAATAAAGAAAAACTAAAATAATTCACTGTCAATGGAGTTTTTTAGAAGACATTTTAAAGGAAGTTCTTCAGGCTAACAGGTAATAATGCTAGAAGGAAACCTGAAACATCAGAGATCACAGAAGAACAACAGAAATGATAGTTGCGTAAATATAAAAACTACCTTTTCCTTGGAATTCCTTTACAATACTTACGGCTGTTTAAGGCAAAAATTATAACATCATTTTGGGTAGGGTTCAATGTTTGCACATGTAACCATAAAGATCAGTGCAGGAAGTAGGAGGGTAGGAGGGAGGAAGAGTGAAATTCCCACCAATACATACAAGTATTTATAAAATTTGGAACTGAAGAAGGCTTTTTCAGCCCCACACACAAGGCAGAAACTTAATCTAAGGGAAACTAAAAATTTTAGTATCTAAACTAAAAGACAACCAATCTGAGAATATTTGTGATATATAAATAAAACAAATGGTCATTTGTTCTTTGTACATTAAACTACTACAAATTAGTAAGACTACAATATGACAAAATAAATTAAGAAAAGACAAGGCAGGAACTTTATAAAAGAAAAATCAAATAATTAATAAGCGTTTGAAAAAAAATGTTTGACCTACTTAGAAAAAATAAATTAAAACAACCAGATATAATTTTCCTTGATCATGTTAGGGAAAACACTTTTTAAATGATAATATCCACAGTTTGGTGAGCAATGTGGCATTCATGTTGGGAAAATAAACTGAAATAATCTTTCTAGAGGGAACTTAGCAATATATATTAAAAGACAAAACATTTGTATTAAAAAGAAGCCAGACATGAAACAGTACACACACTATGATTCCATTTATATATCAAAAATTCAAAAACAGCAAAACTTAAAGTGTTGTAAGTCAGTATAGTAGTTACTCTTGCAATAGGGGTAGAAACTAGAACGGGTAACATGGTGGGCTCCTGGTTGCTGGTACTATTGTTTCTTAAACTGAGTGCTGGGTATGTGGTGATATTCATTCTAGGCAATTTTATCAAACTATGCTTTTGATTTGTGTGCCCTTCTGTTTTGTAAGTGTATGTTATGCGCGCAATTAAAATGTTTACATAATGTACATACTCACTGACCTATGTATTCTAAAATTATTCTATGTAAATTATTAAGAATGCTTGCAGCTATTTAGCCACAAAAGTCAATTTTAGCTCAAATTCTCAACAATAGGTGCGGTAATAAATCATAATACTTCCATATAATAGAATACCATTTTGGCCATCAAAAGTAATCTTGTAGATAAATACTGATTGATAAGCTATTTTTAATAATACTTGAATTAAATGATCTGCAGCATTGAATGGAGAGGCATTCAATTCAAGCATTACCTTTGTATCAGTTCCGACAGTGACCCCCAAATCATTCCTCTTTCTAATCTCAAGGGCTAACACAATGTCTAATATATAGGAAAAACTAAATGAATTTGAAAAAAAATGTATCCCTAAATAGTATTTCTACAAAAATGACATTTTCCAATAAAAGAGATCAGCAAATGCAAACTGAAAGCAGAATGTAGAGAAGATGTAAATGAAATGGTCATAGTAGTAAGAAATTGCCAAACTATATGAAAACATTAAGACTTTTAATGATTTTAGTAACTGGGTTTCGTTAAGGAGGGGTTTACTTTATAATTATTTGTTAAGGTACACATATGTTATGTTTTATGTACTCTTTACATTGTTACTAAAAAATAAAAAAGTAGAAAAAAATCCTAGTAAGCTAACAAAACTTTTTGTGAAAACAGATTCAGGTTTAAAAGAAGCTCTTATAACATTATCAGATAATGTTACCTGAGTCTGAAATGTATAGCATACATGAACTTAAACATCATACATTTAACTCTGGTAAAAACAGATTGGCAATATTAATATAGTAGAACAATTACAGTATTTATATTATAGACTATATAATGATGAGGAGAGACTGATACATGAGTTTACAACAAAATTTAAAAATAAAAATAAAAATATTTGAGAATAAATGATATTTTAGAACTGTCTTCCAATTCCCAAATCCAATTATCTATGAAATTTACTTAAAAACAAACAAACAAATAAAAGCTAACCCTCCTTCAAACCTCCAAAAATACAGTGGAAAAAAAAAATACTGGGTAGTTTGGGGTAACCAAATAACAATTTATAAGCCTCAAGGCAAATAAATAAATAGGAAAAAAAAAATAAAAAATGAAAGATGTAATTAATTCTGGTTATGGGAAGTCACCAAAGATCCCTGACAAAATCTGAAATCACATCTGTTTTATAGTTCCCTTTGAAAGGCAGCATAGTACCTTCAACTCCTCATGCA